CACGCCTCAAGGAAGCCATAAACCCGTAGGGAACAGCCGTGCTCGGGGCTGAGCCCCAGCTGCGGGAGACAGCAGGTCCCGTCCCGCCCACTCACGGAGGCCGGGCGCGGGGCAAGCCTGCCCTCCTGCTCGCAGCCCACCGCCCGCAGGCACGGTGGGGAAGGTTCCGGGTGATGACGATCACCGTACCTGTGTCATTACCTCAGCCATCGGTCTAGCATATCAGACATTCACTGGGCCCAGCATATCCCTCCCCCCAGACGCCCTGCTTCCTGGTCCCTGTTCTGAAATGCAGTCAGTCAGGGCTCCCCACCAGCCGTCCTCCATCCGCAGAGGGAAGCAGGACCTCGCAGGCACGGTTTTCTGTCCCGTGACGCCGGTTTGCGCGGGAGCGGGCGCCGCGCAGACGGCCGGTTTCCGACTTGTCGGGCAAGGGCAGCCGCCAACTGGAATCCTAATGCACTCGCAGCCAGGTCAGCTTAGGTACGCTAGTTTGTTTCACACGTAGACTTACTGTACAGGACTTGTAATATACGACGATTTGTATTTGTAAAGAGATGGTCTATATTTTGTAATTACTGTATCGTATTTGAACTGCAGCAATATCCAATATGGGTCCTAATAATGGTAGCGCCCCCCCCCCCGCTAAGATCTAGAAATTGTTGGAATTTTTACACGGACTAAACGGAAGTAGGAGAAATTGAGCCAATTCTCATGTATGCAACGAGCAGTCTTTTTGGGGGGTGAAATTTTAAGTTCAAAAGAACTTGACCCGATATAGATTTTTCTAAAGTATTATGAGTCCCTCTAAGAGATAACTCGACGACTCTTTGTGGTCTTCTCCCTGAGCAAGAGTGCTGTGGTTTGAGAGAGGACCTTTCACTTCACCACGGGTGGTTTTATTTTAACCCCCTGAACTGTAACTTCAGGACAGGCCTGACCCCGTGGCATTCCCCGTGGCGGGTTTTCTCACCTGCCCCCACAGGACATTCTTGCAGGTGAATGAAGTCCCTCTGCTCGTGTCCCCTGGGCAAGGCGAGGTTGCGTGTCTTAGGAAATAAGGGATGTTGGGGGTGGAGGGTAGAGGGAGCGAAGTGACGCGATCCTTGGAGGGTTAGAGGGCCGGGGTCTGGACAAATAGTATTGTTGCCTTTTTACAACACATTGCTGTGCTGTGTGTTCTCTCCGAGGGCTTTTATATGCAACTGAATGAGGGCTGATGTTTTCACTAGAGTGCACTCCCACAGCGATTGTACTTCCTGAGAACACCCACTTTGGTACCGTTAGACCCGTCCAGGCTTCCTTTTCTGTTCATGGAATAACGCTGACTTTGTCAAGTTACCTTGGCAGGGGTTCTCTGCAGTTAAAAAACAAAAAAAACAGGTAGCAATTTTTGGGTTCAACGTTTTTAAATTTTAAATAGACAACCTGTTGATGATTTTTTTTTCCTTTTTTTGTAAATAACAACACTTTGTTATGAAGACCTTACAAACCTCTTCTTAAGATATTCTTACTCCAGATCCAGGCAAAAACTCTTCAAGGTTTGTAAATGATTATTTCTTGACGTAAATTCTTTTTTAATTAAATGTAAAATGTTCTTCAGAAGAAAATGGTGTAATAACTTTATTGTATTTTGGGGAGCTCTCCTTGCAAAGAGCTGGCGTTTGCCGGTGAGAGCTTGGGAGGGGCGGGCACTTGGTGAGGGCAGTTCTGTAATTGTGTAGACTTTTTCCTTCTTCTCGTCGCTCCTCCTCCGTCAATGCCTATGGTAACTTGATACCAGCTGCAGAGAGCACTGTTTCTCCTAAAGGGCTAAACCACTGTTACCATCTCCTCGGACTCTGTTTCTCTCTTAGGTATTGGTCTCATTGTGTGGCTCACCAGTCCAGCATTGCCTACCAGGACTGGCTTTTCTGGGATAGGCAACCATGTTTTCCAGTCAGTACTTAACAATGGGCATTTTTATGGGCTGCACCACTCCTGATGTCTGTCTGCTTTAAGCCTGGTTTAACCTCTCACCTAACATTAAATTTTTCTTTGTAAGAAAAATTTGAAGTTGTGTAGAGCATGGTTTGTTTGGGTTTTCCTTTGTTTTAGGAAAGTTTTATGATTTAAATGTCTTTTGTTTTGGTTCCCCTTCCATCCCCCCCCCCCAAAAAAAAAAAAATCACTTGGTTGTGTCCCCGGGAAGTCTTTAGTTTCTTTAATCTGTTTTTTTCATGGTAGCACAACATGGAAATGGCAGCTCTGGTGTAACTATCAACAAGCAAGAGCCCCATTAAGGGTCTCTGCGGTCTGCATCCAGGCGTGGTGGATGGTGCTTCCCAGGTTGATTTCAAGACCTTTCGGCTTTAGCCCAAGGCCCGGAAGGGTGGGTGGTGAAAGCAGGGAAGCACCTCAGTGCACAGTGTGGGCTTGACCTGCTGGACAAGCCCAATTTATTGCTGACCCCACGCGGGTGAAAGAAACCAGGGCTGCTTGTGTTGTTGCTTTAATAGGCTACACCAGTGGTCGGCAAACTCATTCGTCAGCAGCCAAATATCAACAGTACAACGGTTGAAACTTCTTTTGAGCGCCAAATTTTTTAAACTTAAACTATAAAGGCAGGAACATTGTTATTAACTTAATTAGGGTGCTCCTAAGCTGGCCTTTGCTAAAAACTCCAGGGGCCAAAGAGCAGCATGTGGCTCGTGAGCCCCCGTTTGCTGACCACTGGGCTGCACCATGGGAGTACGTGTCTTTGCCAATCGTTTGCTTTTCTACAAAAGTTTTTGTTGTTATGACGGCGGTCAGTCAGTTCTAAAAAATGGTCACACACGGCTCCAGCTCCTTGACGTGATGACCCAGCTCAACAGACTCCAGCTATGCTTTCGTTTGCTGATGTTTTTACTTCTTACAGTGATATGTCTCCGGGGAACTCTGAGGGCAGGCAAGGCTGAGGAGCAGGCCTGGGCCCGGCTCCCACCATGGGAACAAGCTGAGCGTGGCCTTGAGGACGGTGACAGGAGACGAAATGAGAGGACTGCCTGGGTCTCGAGACCAGGCCAGTGAAGGGGTTGTGTGGGTCTCCCTGGTTTTTAAGAAAAACGGATCTAGGTGTTAGATCCGATGTTGAGTGGATCAGTGGAAACAGGCACTGACCCGTGGGTGGAGGGGCGTGGTCTGGCTGGCAAGAAGAATCTACCCGGATGTATGGAAACAATGTTCTTGCTGGCTGCACGGGGAACAGAAAGGAGGTGGTGCCCGGGCAGGCTGCTCCTGCCTGCGTGTCAGCCCTCGTTCTGTCAGGAAGACCATCTGCTGACTCGTCGGCCTAAGCATAGGCTTCTTCAGAGGGGTCAGCGCTCCTTAGAGCCTGCTCCCTGGACACAAACGCAGCTTTTATGCTTTTAAACCATTTTTTTTAATCCATTACATTCTTTCATTTTTTAGCTACTGCAGGCTTTTGCTCAGGGGTTTAACGGGCAGTCAACCCCTACTCAAAGCGGACTCCTGCTATGCTCTCCTTTGTTGAAAAGCCTTGTCTCCTGGGAATTTGGGGGGCAGGCTTGGGGGCTCAGTGCGGCCCAGCCGCTGCAGCAGCCTGACTGGCTCCTCGCCCCACCTCCGGTCAGCACCTCCTGCCTTCCGGCTCCTCAGACAACAGCCCTCCCTCTGGCGGCAGGTCCCTGCGGCCGCAGCGGAACCTGCAGGCAGCCTGGTGGCTGTGACGTGGGCCGCTGCTCAGCTGTCAGGACTGAGGGGACGCTGCTTAAAGTCAGGGCATTCCATCCCCGGTCTGAACCCTGTGGGTCTGTGACAGGAGACAGTCTTCTCTTTTGAAACGTATGCCTGTCGTGGCTAACCTGTGCGATCGTAGAAGGCCCTGTATGCGAGAATGGGAAAGGAGCCGAGTTATTTGCTAGCTTACAGCACAGCCACAGCAGCAACAAGCCACTGTGTTGGAGACGGGACCATCCCCGGAACACAGGGTGGCAGAGCCGGATGGCCGTGCACCTGCCATACCGGCACCGCGAAGGTCAGTGCCGTCTCCTGGACCCCACGCGCCTACCTGGCTGCGTGGCCTGCGGAGCGGGGGGCGGGCACCCGCACTGCTGCTGCTCCTTCGCCCCGGCAGGTGGCTCCCAGACCCCAAGGATGGCGGCCACGGGCCACGGCGGCAGCCGTAGGAGAAATCTCTTGGCAGATCTAGAATTTTCTTCTCCGGCCCTTACGTGGAATGGAAGTAAAGCAGGATCCAGGTGAGATGTCGCAGGAGGAGAGGTGGTTTTCTGGGGAACACACGTGTGGCTGTCAGGCCTCCGAGCCACCGCAGTCCACTCCGGTCCTGGGAGAAGCCTTAACTTCTCCTTTTCCTCCCTCCCAGCATGGCAGGCTTCCACGCAGCTATGCTTTCATTCCCTGCCACAGACTGTGGCTCTGAATTACTTTAAATGAAAACAATCAATCCAAAATGCATTTAGTTTATTACCTTGTAAGAGCAGTCTGGGAAAGGTATCTCAGTTAAAAAATAAATTATTGGATTACATTATTGAATTAGGAGAAATTTAAAGATCAAAGGGCTGTTTAAAATGCTGCTTGTATCTAGGTTTTCTTCCCACCACCCCAAACTCAAATCTGACAATTTACTTTTCTCTCTCAATCCAGGCTGCGTAGTTCTACTGACCGCCATTTCAGTCTGCCCTGCTTGTTCCCACGGACGGCTGGAGAATGAGAATGAGCCGGCCCTGCGCAACGCCACGGGTGAGTGTCCGCACGGCCTGGCGTGGAGTGAGGTCTGGCATGTGGGGTTTGCGCTGGGTTCCACGTTTCATGGTGACAAGAAACTTCGTCTAAAATGCCAAGACGTGAAACCTGTCGTGGCGAGACACTTCTCTCCTCGAACAAGACCCAGAAATCCTATCGCCAGGCTGAGTTCAGTAAGAACCAGGCAGGGGGCTGACGGCCCCTCTGAGGGTGAGACTGGGGAGCCCAGGAGAGAGGAGAGGCTGGTGCTGTGTCTCAGCCACAGCTTGCGGCCCAGGGGGAGGGCGCCCCTCGGAGCAGGCAGCACCGGCCTCTGCACAGCAGCCTGCTCTCTGAGGGGCCTGCCTTCAGAGGGGGGCCTGGGAGAGGACCATCTTCCTCCGTCCAGCCAGGAGTGAGGAAGGCAGCAGGCCCCTGGGTTGGAGCTGAGTCTTCCATGGGCCTCCTGCCAGAATGCTGGCCTTCCCCAAAGGCCCGCAGGGCAGGGCAGGGGGAGAGGAACCTGGCGCTGACCAGGACTGGTTTCACTTAAGAAATTGTCCAGTTCTCTGCCCTTGAACCCTAACAGTCTAGAGAGTTTCAGGAAAGAGCATTTGGAACAAGGCCCGTGTGGCTCTCTTGGCTGGTTGGGGGCCTTCCCAGGCGGCGACCGCCTCAGCGCTGGGTGTCCAGGGTCCTGGGTTTGTACACGGGCACGTCCTTGTCGCAGAGCGCAGGCCGCCCCCTGATGATGTCGGCCGCTTTCTCCGCGATCATGATCGTGGGGGCGTTCAGGTTGCCGCTGACCACGCTGGGCATGATGGACGCGTCGACCACACGGAGGTTTTCCACCCCGATCACCCTGGTCTGCGGGTCCACCACGGCCGTGGGGTCGGAGGGCTGGCCCATCTTGCAGGTGCACGAGGGGTGGTAGGCGCTGTCGGCTTTCGCCCGCACAAAGGCGTCGATCTCTTTGTCGGACTGCACGTGGCTTCCCGGCTGGAGCTCTTTGCCCCGGAACGGTGCCAGCGCGTCCTGGGCGAAGATCTCTCTGGTCAGCTTCACGCAGTTGCGGAAATCGTGAATGTCGGCTTCTGTGGAGGGGAAGACACAGGTGAGCGTCCTCTGACCACGCCGGCCTTGCAGGCAGACTCGGCCTGCAGAGGCTCAGTCAGCTGCCCGAGGGGAGACCGTTCAGGACGCGGAGGTCCCGGCCACCAGGCTGCTTGTGGCCTCTCGGGTTCCTGCCCTCCCCACAGGCGGTGGCGTGCAACCAAGCAGAGTCCCATGAAGCCCCAACAGGGAGCAGGCAGGACGGACACGCGTGCCTCAGAGGCCCAGGTGTGAATCGGGGCTCTGGACCGTATCTGCACGTTAGGAATCAGAACTCACGCCTGGCCTCTGCCACCGGATGGCTGGGAGGCCCCACGGCTTTACTGGGCATAACCTGCCGATGGGGAGCGCTCATTTCTGCTGTGTGCAGAGAGGCAGGCGGGGAACACAGTCGCTTTTGAAGGTGTTCACAGTCACAGAGGAAACACGCTCTGAGCTGTGTGTACACAGCCAGGTCGCCGCCGTGACCCGCCAGGTAAGTTGCTTTGAGAGCCACACATCTCTCCTCATGTGGTTACCTCAAGGAACCACCCCCCCCAGGACCCCCCGCCCCCCGCCGGGCACCACACAGCGGCGTGTGCACGTGTGCGGACTGGAATGATGGGCGGAGGGAAGACAGAGACTGTGTCTCAGAAACAAACCCACAAAGCAGCCATTGGGTCTGTGACCGGCAGGCGCAGGCCTGGGGCACATAGAGGTGCAGGGGAGTTAGTTACCTGTGGACAAGTAGTTGGGCTGCAGCACAGGGTGGTCGTGCGGGTTGGCGCTCCTCAGCTTGAGCCAGCCCACACTCGTGGCCCGCATGGTCCCCACGTGCACCTAGGTGAGTGCAGAGGGAGCAGTCACTTCACCAGCCCCAGCTCGGCTCAGAGAGGTCCCAGCTTTCCCGTGGGTGGGCCTCTGCGTCCAAAGTCGGTTAAAAGCAGGGGTGTCTTAGCATCTGCCTGCGTCTCACCTGCCCACACTCCACAGTGATTAAAAACCACCTGATGGAGCACTCCTGCCTCTATAATCGATTGTCCAAAACTTCCAGGAGCTGGCGAGCCCTGGGCAGAGTCGGTGCCATGGGCCCACTCCCAGTGCTCAGTGCCAGGAACAGCTGCCCTAAGCCGTGTGGGCCTCACCTTTCCTGCCGCGGGCAACTGCCTGTCCCTGCTCAGACGTATGGAGCGGCTGCAGGGCAGGCACAGGCTTGCGCACTCCCCACCCGGAAGGCCCTGCTGCCGTGGGGAAGACGGAAAGGATGGGACTGGCTCCTCACCTGGTAAGCCTCCTCCTGGGTGGGGACTCGCCCGTGGTCAATCACTTGGGACGGCAGGAAGTGGAACTGGATGTCCGGGTGGGAGACCCCAGGCCGGCTCCTGATGAACCCTCCTGTCTCCAGATGGGCCGTGGCTCCGTCCCCTGAGGAGTGGAAGAGAAGTCAGTCAGGGCAGGGCGTGGGGGCCGGCCTCAGAGCCCCGGTGCGCCTACCTGTCCTTCCTCTCCCCGCAGGAGGGCTCACCGGCGCCACAGCTTCCAGTGTCAGCTGCCTGTCTACCTGTCGAGAGTCTTCAGCTTTGCCTCTCCCCCCGACTCCACCACTGAGACTGGGCTATGAGGCCTGGGGTCCCACAGGGAACCCTCACCTGGCCTGCCTCCTCGTGACCAAGCCCTCCCCCCTAAACCTCCCACCAGTGTTGCCATCTCTCTGGCCCAACTAATGAGATGCCTAGTCCAGGCGCCTTTGCACATACTCTTCCTGCCTTTCGGATCTCCTGGTCTCTCTCTCAGTACTTAACACTTAGGAGAGAATCAGGTAACCATGCTCTGTCACCTCCAGGGTAAATGCCGGAGGATACCTGCCTTTCTGGGACTTCTCACCACTTCCTGGACTTGGAAGTCTATTACTCTCACCAGGTAGGAGAAGTTTTCGGTCATTATTTCTTCAAACAGGTTTTCAGTATCTTGCTCGCTCGCTCTTCTCCTTCCAACACCCCCATAAATGCGAATGATGGTGCCTCGTAGTTTGCTTGCTTCCATTTCATTTAGCGTCTCTTTTTGGAGATTTCTTCTGTTCGTTTGTGACATGTTTCTTTGTCTCTGCATTTTGGCCGCTTCCCTGTGTCTGTCTCTGTATTATGTGGAGCTGCTCTTCTCCTGGGATTGGCAGAGTGGCCTTGTCCAGTAGGTGTCCTGTAGGGCCAGTGGCTCAGCCTCCCCAGTCACCTGAGTGGGGCACTCTAGGTGCACCCCTTTGTGGAAATGCAGATATGGCTGCCAGGCAGCTTTGCCACTGGAGGTCTTAGGGGTGCTTGCAGGGCTCACTGTTCCTGAGTTTTTGCTCAGATGCCAGGCAATCCAGGTCCTTCCCATAAGTTCCTGGCTCCCCCGAAGCCGTTGCCCCAGCACCAAACTCTGATGGAGTCTGATGGAGTGAGTCTGTGTAAGTTCATTCCTTTAAGAATTGCCTCCTTGTCACTCTGCCACAATCCCTGCTGGTTTTTACAGCCCAAAGTTACAGGGACTTCTTTTCCCAGCTCTGGGACCCCTTGCTCCTCACGGGAGACCTCTGCAGCTGAGCTATTCCTCCCAATTAAAAAAAAAAAAAAAAAAAAAAAAAAAAAAAAGCCACACCTCGGTGTCAGACCGGCCGTTCTGTGCCTCCGCCCCTCCTACCAGCCTTCCTGTGCTGTATCCTTTACTTCTCTGGTGGTAGGACGTCCGTTCAGCCAGCTTTCAGGTGGTTCTGAGTGATGTTCTGTATTTCAGTTGTAATTCTGATGTGGCTATGGGAGCAGCGAGCACCACCTTTACCTATGCCACCTCTTGGTTCTCCTCTACTTTCTCCATTTGTTTTCTAACTAAGAAATGGACGCTGATTCTGTAGTCCAGCACCAAGTGCCTTTTCTCCTGGCTCCTTGGCCACCTCACGGTGCCCAGCACCATGGTGCCCACCATCGGAGGGAAGAGCAGCACCTCGCCCTGAGGCCTCTCACCCAGGTCAGGCCCTGTGCTACTGAGTCTGTCCTCACACTAGACCATTAGGTAGGAACTGTGTATCCCATTTTTCAGATGGGAGAGCTGTGACAAATGTCCCCTCCGCAGTCCATACTAACAAAACCAGCAATCTGGGGACAGAGCCCTTGCTCAGCACCTCACAATGCCCACAGACCATCTCTACTGACCTGTGAACTTCCAGAGCCACTCCAGACCAATCCGGACCTTCCTCAGGGGCTTCTGTGCTGTGTGGAGGGTGATGGGGCGGGTGCATGCCTGCTGGATGTATATCTCCAGGTGGTCTTGCAGGTTCTGACCAACTCCTGAAATAGGAGGGAGTGGTGAGAAGGGCTACCAAAGGGAGCTTAGGTGACCTCTCAACTTCCCCCTGGTTTTAAAACTTCTCCCCTACCCACTTATCTGCAGGCCAGTTCCTGTGCAGGCCCCGGATCACCTCCCAGGGACACCATTCTGCACTCCTGGCCAAGTCCAGCCCCCTCAGATGTTGCCAGAGCCACCCATCCAGTTGCCTTCCTGCCAAGCAACTGGGCAGGGCCCACGTGTGCAGCAGGTACTGCTCAGGAAGCTGTCACTGAGGGGCTGACAGCCCCGCCTCACCTCTGGCTGGGGGAAGCAGGCCCCCTCAGGCTGTGCAGACCCTGCAGGAGCTCATCCAAGCTCAAGGGCATGCTGGGCAGGTCACTGTCGTGGCCCAGCACTCGCACAGACCCCTTATGAGGAAGCCTCAATGCACAATGGCCAGGACTCTGGGAGCTGGGGTTATGAGAGGGCAAAAGGGACAGGCCCCAAAGGGCATCCAAGACAGTTTGTAACATAAATTGCAGGCCTGGAGCACTGAGAGGGCAAAAGGGACAGGCCCCAAAGGGCATCCAAGACAGTTTGTAACATAAATTGCAGGCCTGGAGCACTGTCTGAATGGGAGAAGCATGCCCAGGAGTGCTGAGCTAGCATCTTTAACATCAGAGCAAGTGGTGAGTACTGAGGATGGAAAACACAGAGGCTGGGCCCCTCAGCACAGAGCTGCCCTGGTGACCTGCTGAGCCTGGCCCAGCAGGCGTAAGGGGCAGATGCTCCCTGCTACAGGGCCTCGCTCTCAGCAGATTGGGTAGCTCTCCTCCTGTCCCTGGCCATCCTAAGACCTGGGGGAGGGGTCCCTGGGGGGCCTTCAGGCTCTTGAGAAAAATGGGACAGTTCTAAAAAGCACCGACTCCTGCCCCTCCCCAGTCCACACTAACACAATACAATACACCGTTCTGTTTAGCAGAGACCCCCTCCGGGAGCAGGGGAGGAGGACACTCACCCGGAAGGTGGCACACCACGGGGATGCCCAGCTTCTTGAGGTCGTCTGCGTTGCCGACGCCAGAAAGCATGAGCAGCTGCGGGGAGTTGATGGCACCTCCGCTCAGAATCACCTCCTTGCTGGCGTAAGCCTGGAAGAGGCAGCGGGCCCGGCAGGTCACACTCCCCTCCCAAAGGCAGACAGACAGAGAACGTGGCCTCGGCGTGGGAGTGGGGAGGAGGATGCCCAGGGTGCTGTGTGAAAGCTCCCCATATGCTCGGCTATCGCGTGCGCTCATAAATAAATCACGATTACACTCTGGAATATTCTGCGACTGTCAGTAATGATGGTCATAAAAACAGGATCATGGAACTTAAATGAGAACCACACTAGAATGAGGGGCTCCCATAAAGCACACAGTGGGATGAGGACATTCTGGCACACTGCTAAGTAGAAACCAGCACAATGCAGAAATATGAAGTTCCTCGAAAATAAGAGTATCTTATATTAATTTTTTCTCCCAAAGTTGCACTAGGTCTTATTTTCGGGGAAACACGGTATGATCACAGTTACGGTTCTTAAAACCTACCTACTCCTAAAAAGGTGTGGAAGGTAGGAGGGACAGGGCTGAGGTGGGGAGCGGCAGGCAGGCTCACAGGGGCACTTATCCGGGGCACAATAGGCTCTGCAGGCGCCTAACCTGGACTCCACCCCCAGCTAAGCCCTGGGAACGATCTCTCAGGCCACGGCCACCAGCTGCCCACTCCCCACCACAGTGCAGATGGAGAGCGTGACTGCCGCCCATTCCCGCCCGCCCTCCGAGCTGCCTAGGCCTGGGGTGCTGGGCTCACCCTGTGGCGCTGGCCATTCTTGATGTACTCCACGCCCACGGCGCGGGTGCCTTCAAACAGCACCCTGCTCACCAACGTCCGGGCCTCGGCGGTGAGGTTGGGCCGGCTGAGTGCGGGGTGCAGGTACGCGCAGGCTGCGCTCCAGCGCTTGCCTGCAGGACAGAGCGGGGATGTCAGGCACAGCCCCTGGCCCCTGCCCGGGGGGGGGGGGGGGCGGGGAGGAAAAGGGCTGGAGAAAGAGGAAATGTCTTTCCCTGACTGTGTAAGCTCTGCCTTCCAAGTACCCTGTCCACGGAAACCCACATCCACCTGGGGCCCCTGGAGGTTCCATGCCCGTTTCCCCATCTGTAAGTCTCTCTGGCCAGAGAGCTAACTCCATTATCCACACCCTCAGGGGCCAGAGACCCAGAGAATGCCAAGGTGTCACACCCCTCCACTCAGACCCGCTCCCGGGGGTCCACCCTTACTCACCACAATGCGAGCAGGAGGGAGGGGCTGTAATACTAAAAATTTTTCAGGGAAGAACCAGGGAGAGGGCCTGGGGGACAGTGGGTGGGCACCTTACGCTACCTTTGTGGATGGTCATGTCCATCCAGCCGAAGCCCTCCTGCTGGAAGCCGTTCATGTCCTCGGTGAGCGGGTAGCCGGCCTGCTGCGCCGCCTCCAGGAAGGCCCGGTGCAGCGGGTGGTCGGTCTTGCCCCGGGACACGTGCAGGGGGCCTCGGTCGCCGCGGTAGCGGCTGGCGCCCAGCTCGTGGCTCTGCGCCCGGCGGAAGTAGGGCAGGCAGTGCGCGTAGCCCCAGCCCGCGGCGCCCTGCCGCTGCCAGCGCTCGTAGTCCTCGGCGTGGCCCCGCACGTACACCATGGCGTTGAGCGACGAGGAGCCGCCCCACACGCGGCCGCGCGGCCAGTACAGCACGCGGCCGTCCATGCCGGCCTGCGGCTCCGTGTGGTAGCACCAGTTGTACCGGTCGTCGCACAGGTTGGCCACGAGCGCCGCGGGCATGTGGATCTTCCAGAGGAGCCGCTTGCTGCCCGCGCGCGTGTCCCTGGGCCCGGCCTCCAGCAGCAGCACGCGCGCGCCCGGGTCCTCGGTGAGCCGGCCGGCCAGCACGCAGCCCGCCGAGCCCGCGCCCACCACCACGTGGCTGTACTCCTGCCCGCTCCCCGCGGCCACGCCGGCCAGGGCCCGGGAGGCGGGGGGCCGCTGCTGCCCCTGCACCCCCCAGGGGCTCAGGCGCCCGCGCCTCCAGCCGCGCAGGACACACCACATGCTTCCTGTCCGAGTCCTCTGATCTGCACGGAGGGCTTGCTATTCCTAGAGCAGAAAAAACAGGCCTTCAGTGTTTTGACCCGGCATGCAGATGAAGAGTCAGCCTGCAGCTGGGCAGCCGCCTGGGGCAGGCTCATCACGACGTCTGCCCAGAACTGGGAGGGACAGGCCTGGCTAGCATAGCCCTGCCCTGGGTCCCCGGAGGAGGGAGCAGAGGTGCACACAGTTCTGTCAGTACTGCAAGGCTCTGTGCGAGGGCTGGGGCACAGGAGAGAGGCCTGTCCCCAAACCTGGGGAGTCCCCAGAAAGGCTTCTCTGCGACACCTGTGCATGAGCCTGTGGCTGGCAGGAGTCTGTCTGCTGGAGAGCAGGGGAGGTAAGGGCTTTCCAGCTTCCACTCATTCCTCATCCTTTCCAGTCAGCTGCTGAGCCATTCCATCGCTAGCAACACACAGAGAACAGGATACCTGCCCTCAAAACGGAGGGTCTGGGGCCAGGGAGACCGATGAGACTTAAATCAGTAACTGGTAGAAAGTCGGGGTGGGGGGCTCTAGACTGCAGAGCTGAAATGAAAGCCCTTGACCCGAGGGCCACAGCATACACTGGACAGCTTTTCACTGAGGTGGGATCAGAGCGGCTGTTTTCAAAGATCACTCTGGAGAATGCCGAAGTTCTAGCAAACAAAACCTGGCAGCAGCTTTTGCAGGGTCCATTCCCAGCAAAGTGCAGATCCATCCCAACATGCTCAGTGCAGAGGCAGAAAAGAACCAGAGCTCCAGAACACAAGAACTTCTGAGAAAGCTCAGCCATGAGGCTAGGGCACAAAACGCCTGCCCGAGACTAGGGCTGCCACAAGAGGCCTGAGAAACCAAGAAAGCCCCAATAGACCCCCTGCCCCTCCAGGAGGCAGCCTACCACTGGCGGCAGGCTGAGGTCAGAGTGCAGAGAAAGGGGCCTCCTGCCCACTGCCCCTCCCGCAGGCACAGAGAGAGAGGCCCCAGGACTCCTGAAAGCCACGCCTGAAGCAGCGACACGGGGAAGAACCTTCCAGCGCCCCAGGCCCCATACCAGCCCCAGGTGGTGGCAGCTCAGCTTCCCACTGGGTTAACTCGGCCCCCCACACTAACGACCTGATAGGGTAAAAGGCATGCCCTTTTCCAGGTGAATTTTATCAAACATTCAGAAAAGGACTAACACCAATCCTCAAACTATTCCAAAATTTTCAAGAGGAGGGAAGACTTCCGAGCTCATTTTGTGAGGCCGGTGTCATCCCAATTCCAAAACCAGATGGAGACACTACAAAGAACGAAAATTAGAGGCCAATATCCCTGATAAACATAGATGCAAACATCCTAACAAAATATTAGCGAACTACATCTAACAACACATTAAAAGATCAGCCCGCGCCGGTTTGGCTCCACAGGCAGAGTCTGTCTGCGGACTCTTGGTCCCAGGCTCGATTCCGGTCAAGGGCACGTACCTTGGTTGCAGGCTCCTTTCCAGCCTGGGCCTGGTCAGGGCTCGTGCAGGAGGCAACCAAACGCTGTGTTTCTCTAACATCGGTATTTCTGCCTTTCCCTCCCTCTAAAAATCAATGGAAAAATAGCCTCAGGTGAGGATTAAAAAAAAAATCATAGCCGAAACCGGTTTGGCTCAATGGATAGAGCGTCGGCTTGGGGACTGAAAGATCCCGGGTTCGATTCTGGTCAAGGGCATATACCTTGGTTGCGGGCACATCCCCAGTAGGGGGTGTGCAAGAGGCAACTGATCTATGACTCTCTCTCATCGATGTTTCTAACTCTCTCCCTTCCTCTCTGTACAAAATCAATAAAATATATTTTAAAAAAATAAAAAATAAAAAATAAATCATATACCATGATCAAGTGGGATTTATTTCTGGGATGCAAGGTTGGTATAATGTCCACGAATCAATTAACATGTGACACACCGCATAAATAAAATTAAGGATAAAAAGCATATGATCATATCAATATATGCAGAAAAAGCATCTTACAAAATCCAGCACCTATATATGATAAAAACTCTCAACAAAATGGGAATATAGGGAACATATCTCAATATAATAAAGCCCATATATGACAAATCCACAGCTAACATCATACTCAATGCACAAAAAAATAAAAGTGTTTCCTTTAAAGTAAGAAATAAGACAGGGATGTCTGCTTTCACCCTTCTTATTTAATATGGTACTGGAAGTCCTAGCCACAGCAATCAAGAAGACATAAAAGGTATCCAAATTGCCAAGGAAGAAGTAAAATTGTCATTATTTGTAGATAACATGATACAGTATACAGATAACCCTAAAGATTTCTTAAAAAAAAAACACCCTAGAACTGATAAATTCAGTAAAGTAGAATACAAAATTAATATCCAGAAATCAGTTGAGCTTTTATATACCAATAATGAACTATCAGAAAGGGAAACTAAAAAAAAAAATCAAAAAAAAAATCCATTTACCAGTATAATTGTATTTAAACAAAATACCTAAAATAGCCCTAGCTAGTATGGCTCAGTGGATAGAGCGTCAGCCTGCAGACTGAAGGGTCCCGGGAAGGACACATGCCCAGGTTGCAGGCTCGTTCTCAGTGGGGAGCATACAGGAAGCAGCTGATCAATGACTCTTCCTCATCATTGATGTTTCTATCTCTCCCTCTCTCTTCCTCTCTGAAATCAATAAGAATACATTTTAAAACAAAAACACCTAAGAATAAGAAAATTATAAGACACTGAAGAAATTGAAGATACAAGTAAAGGGAAGCATATACTTATGCTCAGGGATAGGAAGAATTACCATGATTAAAATGTTCATAACTAGCCGAAACCAGTTTGGCTCAGTGGATAGAGCGTTGGTCTGTGGACTGAAAGGTCCTGGGTTCGATTCTGGTCAAGGGCATGTGCATTGGTTGCGGGCACATCCCCAGTGGGGGTTGTGCAGGAGGCAGGTGGTCAACGTTTCTCTCTCATCGATGTTTCTAGCTCTCTATCCCTCTCCCTTCCTCTCTGTAAAAAATCAATAAAATATATTTTAAAAATAAATAAATAAAATGTTCATAACTACCCAAAGCAATCTATGGATTCAATGCAATTCCTATAAAAATAATGGCATATTTCACAGACCTAGAATAAATAATCCAAAAATTATACAGAACCACAAAAAGACCCCAAACAGCCACAGCAATCTTGAGAAAGAAGAACAAAGTATTACCTACCTGATATCAAACTATACTACAAGCGTTTAGTTATCAAAACAGGATAGTCATGGGATAAAAACAGACACATAGCTCAATAAAACAGAACAGAGAGCCCCAAAATAAACCAACACTTATATGGACAATTAATATTTGACAAAGTAAGTAACAACATACCATGGGGAAAAGACAGTCTATTCAATAAATGGTGTTACAAAAATTGGACAGCAACAGGCAAAAATAAAATTAGACCACCTTCTTACACTATATACAAGAATAAACTAAAAATAGATTGAAGACAAATATAAGACTTGAAACCAGAAAACATAGGCAGTAAAATCTCTGACATTTCTCTTGTAATTATTTTTTCTGATATATCTCCCCAGGCAAGGAAACAGAAGAAAAAATAAAATAAACAAATGGGACTATCTCAAACTAAAAAATTTTTGCAGTTAAGGAAAATAGTAAAAAAAAATGAAAAAAGAACCCACTGAATGGGAGAACATATTTGCCAACAATACATCTGATAAGGGATTAATATGCAAAATATATAAAGAATTCATACAACTAAAATCCAATTAAAAACGGGCAAAGGACCTAAATAGATGCTTCTCCAAAGAGGACATACAGATGTCCAATAGACATATGAAAAGATGCTCAATGTCACCAATCATCAGAGAGATGCAAATTAAAACCACAATGAGATAGCACCTCACACCTGTCAGAGTAGCCACCATCAATCAATACATCAACAAACAAGTGTTGGAAAGGATGTGGAGAAATGGGAACCCTTGTGCACTACAGATGGGAATGGAGATTGGTGCAGCCACTATGGGACACCGTATGAAATTTCCTCAAAAAATTAAAACTGCCTTATGATCCAGTGATTCAACTTCTGGACATATATCCAAAGAAACTCAAAACACTAATTTGAAAGAACTTATGCATCCTTATGGTTCATTGCAGTAGGTTATTTACAATAGCCAAGATATGGAAGCAACCCAAGTGCCCATCAATAGATGAGTGGATAAAAGAATTGTGGTACATATATACAATGGAATATTACTCAGCCATAAAAAAAAGAATGAAATCTTACCATTTGCAATAGCATAGATAGACTTAGAGAATATTATGCTAAGTGAAATAAATCAATCAGAGAAAGACAAATACCATATGATTTCACTTTTATGTATTGTAAAATCTAAAGCACAATATAAATGTACACAAAACAGAAACAGACTCATAGATATAGAGACTCATAGATGGTTGCCAGAGGGGAAGAGGCAGTAGGGAGCTATGTGAAAAAAATGAAGAGTTTGAGAAATCTATATAATAAAAAAGAAACATGTAAATTGACCATACCTCCACGACACCCACCAGCCAATCAGGAGTATGCAAATTAACCCAACAAAGATGGCAGGTTAATTTGCATACACAGGCACTAGACAGAGAGCAGAGTGGGGAAAGCCAGTGGCTTGGGGGGATGTGGCTCCATTGATCGTTCCCCTCAAGCTGCTGAGCAAAGAGTAGAGTGGGAGAATTGGTGGAGAGTGGAGTGGCTTGGGGATCTCCAGAGGGAGAGCAGAGAGGAAGAGCTGGAGACTTGGAGGACTTGTCAGAGCAGGAGGCCTTGGGATGGAGACAGAGCAGGAGGGAAAAACCAAGAGTGTGAGGAGCAACACGAATTCTGGGAATCGTAGTTCTGGTGGCAGACAGATCCTAGTGGTCGGCAAACTCATTAGTCAACAGAGCCAAATATCAACAGGACAACAATTGAAATTTCTTTTGAGAGCCAAATTTTTTAAACTTAAACTTCTTCTAAAGCTACTTCTTCAA